TGTAAGGAGAGAAGCTTTGATCCTGATTGATAGGCACCTAGCAGCTCATGCCCTGGAGCACCCAGACCTGGAGGAGCCAACACCTGCAGAGCCACGCCAGGAGTCATGCCAGCCCGAGAAGGAGATGGAAGCATAAATCCCAAAGAGGGTCGACCTCCGCACGAGGGAAAGAGTGCCAACTGGAGAGACGGCCGAAGAAAAGAGGGCAAGATGAACCAGGCGGATAGATGAGATATGGTAGGAAAGGCAGAGGTTGGAGGCAGCAGGGTAGCTCCCGGAGCAGCAGCAGGAGAGGCAGAGATCGGAGGCAGCAGGAGCACTCCCGGGTCAGCCGCCCAGCGCGCCAGCCAAGGCCCCGGAAATTCCTGAAATGTGGAGAGACTTCTGGGAGCAGAGAGGAGAGGAGCTTCCATCGCCAGTCAGAGCCGGGTTTGGGGTGGCCAGGAAGGCGGAAGAAAGGTTAGATAGTAAAATCAAGTTCCTAGCCAAGACCACTTTTGACCGGCACTTGTTATTGGAGGGCGATCTGGCGGGGAAGAAAATGAAGGAAGCCAGCCATGGAGTACGTCTGGAGGCTATGAAGATGGAAATTCAGGAACTTAGGGCTTTGGTGGCCAGCCAAGCAGCTATCATTGAGAGCCTGAGGCAGCAAACCCAGGGAAGGCAGCCAGGACAGGGATTGTCAAGACAGCCATCTGCGACAGAGCCTCGCCAGGAGCCACCTATGGGGAGGGTTATCCTGGAATCAGAGGAGGCGAGAGCACAGAGGCAGGCAGAGAGAGAGGCGTTCGAGTTTAGAGCCCCTACTGAGCTCGCGACGCTGCCGGTGGCGGCGGCAGGCCCAGTCGTACCTTTGGCAGTAGAGGAGGGGCTGCCACCATCTAGCAGTGAGCCGGCTCAGGGCTCGTCAGAGGGATCCATGGGCGTGCTCCTTGAGGCGGTGCATACTATGCAGGAGGAGGTGAGTTTGTTTTCACCTGAGCAGAGGATAGAGGAGCCTCTTGAGAGAGAGATGGGGATTGAGGAGGAGGGTGCCATCGAGGGCAGACTCCAGAGAATAGGCACACCTGAGTATGGACCAGAGGAGATTGAGGAGCAGCCCACGGTAGTGCCAGAGGCGGCACTCGAGAGGAGGTCTCAGAGGTTGGACACGCCCGAGTATGTTCCAGCGACAGAGGATTTGAGAGGCAAACTAGGATTTTGGGCTACTGGATCTGGGTCTGGTGGACCAGTTCCGGGGACAGAGCAGCAGGAAGTCGTTAGTACCGCAGCTCCTCAAGCAGAGCAGCAGGGGTTTATCAGTACCTTGGCAGGATCTCCTTCATCACCACCTCCTCAGCCAAGGAAGAAAAAGTTCAAGAGGAAGGTTGATCAACTATGTTTCTACTGCAAGAGGAGCGCGCATCATGCTTTGGACTGTCTCGAGTTTCTTGAGGATAAGGCAGCAGGGAAGATCTCAGAGGTAGGGGGTAAAATATACGATAGACAGGGTAGGGTAGTAGAGAAGTCTGCAAATGGACTTAGGGCTCAGTTATATAGGCAAAACCAGGAGAAGTTGAGGAGGTAAGGCCGGCTTTGTCTATATAAGCGAGCGAGCATTTTGTGAGGCATCAACTTAGGTTTTGTGTGATACTCTCTTAGACTTAGAAAACATTTTGATGATTACTGTTAATCTAGATCTGAACTCTAGTGTTTCTACTGAGTTGG